GAAGCGTTGAAAAGAAGAAGCGGCCCATCCAGGGACTTGGTATCTCAAAATCAACAACGCCTTCGGAGCGATATTCCAACCATGCGTGTGCGAGCGCGTGTATGCCTATGCCACCCATATCCTAGTGGCCTCCCTGGTGACGAGCAGAAAGAAAAAATGAAGCCCGTCCCCAATTCGATTCCTATCCAATTGTTGCTGTAGTAGAGATGGATCCGATTATGTGAAATTAAAAGTTAAGGCGCAATTCGAAACCGCCTTGTGCAGATGATTGATCCATGGCGTCGCCATCGCTTGGGTCGATGGCCATGTCCCATTCGCGTTTGAGCTGGACGGGGTTTTCGGGCAAGATCTCCTTGATTTCGAGCCTCATGTCTTGGCCTTCTCTGAGTTCTTGGATGACGTCGTCGTCTATCTCGACCTCGAGACCACGATCGAGAACGTGAACTGTCCGCAGAATCTTCGAAGGATCCAGGTTCCACTTTGCAGCCACACGATAGTTAAAGTCTTTGAGATTCCTCTGGGCCAAGTAGATAGCCCGGTAGTACTCCCGCTTTTCTGGCTCCGTTATGTTGGGTCGGAGAATGTAGAAGCAAGCTGCGGGCTTTACCACGCGCTCTGGAGGAGGACGATAAGCTGGGTCCACTCCTAGTGCCTCGATCCAACCGCTCAAATTGCCCGCATCGTCTGTTTTGGTGACCTTGGTAGGTTGGTCTGACCCTTGCCGGGAAGCAGGTTCGCCAGAGCCCTCACCCTCAAACCCAGCCCATTGACGATTGGGGACAACTGAAGCCTGAGACGCTAGTGATAGGGAGCTCGGCGAAGGTGATACGAGAGACGAGCCAGCAACAGAACTGCGGCCACTCCGTGCTTGCCATGCTGGGCCTTCGCGGGATTCTACCTTGGCAAGTTCGCCTTGCTCTCCAGGAAGCGAAACGGGGTGCAGGTCTGGATCGTCGAGTTCTTCGCCACGTAGGTACAATACGCTCACAGGTCGGGTACTGGTAAACATATCCTGCAATGTTTGAAGCTTGAAGTGCAAGTCTTCTTCGAGAGGAGGGCGAGTTCCGGCCCCGGCTGAACTGGTGGAGGACATGGACCAAGTTCGCTTGTGTTTCTGAACCTTGCCGGGTCGCTGATCTGCACCCTTGACTTGTGCTGCAGCGTTCGACCTCTTGCGCTTTCCAAAGTCCTTCATGCCGCTTTCAGCTTGGGTTATCTGTTGCTTGAGCTTGTCGATGGTCTTCTTGACGTGTGCAACATCATTGGAAAGCTTCCGCTCGGCACCGTGGTCGCGGAACAACTTGACCTTGCAGAAACAGATCTCCGGGTTGGCATCGGCTGCTGGCTGTGCGATGTCTATCGGGAATGTGCTGGTCTTGGTGCAGAGTCTTACTGGAATGCCTTTGACACCCTTGGAGTGACTGAAGTCGGTTGACAAAAAGTTGAAGCGTACGGCAATGTTGCATTCGGGGGCGCCGTTGATGCCGGGGGTCCAAACCACTGAAAACCCGTCAAAGGAGGACGATTCCAACTCAACACGGGTTCTCTTGTCGTCGCCTTCGGTCGGCTGGCCTGCCTCTACATATTCCACGGCCTGCAGCTTTCCGCCTCGTTGATGAGCTTCGTTTGTGCCTCGTCCCTCTTTCCACAAAGCCCAGCAGACGCCGGGCTTCTGCCTTTGCTGCTCGTCTTCGAAGGAGATCCGGACAAAAGTGCGGAACTTGGTCCCCGGAGCCACAGGCATTGTGGCATTGGTATCGACCACAGATAGAGAGTAAGCCTGGCCCTTGTTGAGATACGTGACGGGAATCTCATCGGCGTGTTTGATCATGGCGGTAGGGGCATTCAAAGTAGCGTGAAACCGGAACTTCTCAGCAGATGGTGGCATGACCGCAGCCATGGGCAGGCCTCCGAATTGGCGTCCCTGGAAACCAACCATGGGCGAGTTGTGAAATGCGCTGTCGATAGAAGCCATTCGCTCCTCAGATGGATCAGAGTTCATTGGCGACCCATCTTGCTCCATAGTCTCGTATCCGGTGTCTTGATGAACAAATGACGAGGGGGCGAAGGATTGCTGGTGTGCCGGAGGCTGGATAAAGGGATTGAAGGGTTGTTGAAATTGCTGAGGGTGGTGCATTCCTTGCATACCCTGGAACCCGGCGAGGTCCATCATAGGCTGCCCAGCGTGCATTGCGCCTTCAGACGTAGGCATCGACAGAGGCGTCCCGAGACCCATGCCGAGCCCTAGGGTAGGTGTGTGCAAGTCACCGGCTTGAGGATGATAGATGGTGTTGGTGCCTCCCGGCGTGGGAGTGTAGTAACCGGGCGGAGCATTGGCGAAGTTGGTGAAGGAGAACGAGTTGGGGTCAAGCAGCGACGGCGTGAACCTCCATGGTTCATTCGTAGCTCTGGGCGTTGGGTCTTGATCCCTGAAAGCTTCATGACTGAGGCTGTGGCTTCTACAGAAAGTATAATGTTAGCCACAGAGTCGGATAAATCAAGCATCTTTTTTGGAATACTGCGCATGAGTCCTCTTGATCCACACATGGGCAAGAGTACCCCGCGTTTCTGCCTGAACTCGTCCCGGCGGGCGCGGCCGGGTGCCGCGAAAGCAACTGCAAAACTCCAGAAAAGGTTCATGATGGTATTTGTACTGACCTTTCTTGAACGCCCGGAATAGACGGAACCATGCCCGTATTATCAACGGCGGCGCTCGCGGCGCCAACTGGGGCCGTGGTCGTAACAGCCACCTCGGGGAACTGCTTTCGAAAAGTGGCCAGCAATTCATCGCCGGGTTTTTGGGCGCTTGTTCTGTGAACAGGCACACGAGTCAGTACATGTCCGGGCAGGCGCAAAAAGGTTTCGAGATGGCGCAACAACGCGCGCATCCTCTGCGGGGAGCCGGGCTGCACAGCTATTTTTGTCGGCGCATAACGACAAAACATGGCAGAGCTTACCTTTGGCGAAACATCTTGATAGTAGATCTGCGCGCTGCCTAGTGACAGCGATACCGAGTTGGTGTTCAGTAGTTGTGGGTGATCTCCCGAATCCAGTCTCTTTCTGGCGAGCGATCGAACGGTCCGAATCCTCGCCCTCGTGTTGCTGCTTTGCGACGCCTGTCTCTTTTTTCTTCTTCGTCTGCCGTGATTCAGCTGAGCAAGCCTGAACTTCCTTAACGAGCGTAGGTCAGGTGGGGGAAGGCCGAGCTTTGGCGCCTCATAGAGCGGTCGGAAGTGAAAACGAGCGAATGGGTAGGTGATAGCGTCGTACGTGGTCGCGGAACCAAATGGGGGGAAAAAATCGATACGAAATTGGTTCTTCAAATGGTGATGTGCAAAGTCGAATGGGCCGCTAGCAAAGGTCGAGAAGTTGCAGTTCGAGAGGAAAAGGCCGCTCCGGTATGACGTCCGTGGGGAGAGAGCGGTATATTAGAGGATGCGGTGGGTACCTGGTAAGTACGTGTGTGAAGCAAGGTGGACAGACAAGGATGCGCGGCGGAGTCACAATGGCCTAGATGCGCAGTGGGCGTTTCTGTCGATATTGGAACTGCTTCGCCGAGGAGATGAATCGGGCGGGTGTAGCGGCTTGCTTAAGAGGCGCAAACGAGGAGACTAAGACGTTGGAAGACAGAGACCATGCGCGCACCAGAAGTAACAGCAAGTGGTAGTCTGTTGGTTCGCCAAAGGGTCTCGTAGTCTTGGTGTGTGGTTTCGGGTACGGCCTGTAATGGTGCGTTGCTTGGTACACAACCTGTGGCTCAAGGTGAGTAAATGGACGGTAGACAACACGACGCGTGCGTGGGCGAGGTATGCGTATTATGCTCCGGGGCCGGGAGAGAGGTTGGAAGAGCGCGCAAGAGCGAGAAGAGACGCGGCTACGATGGAAGGTCGGAACAGAACTTCAAGCAAGACGGGTAGGTAGAATATCCAAGGGAAGAGGAATGGATGGGATGAGCGGTATCTAATGTATGTATGTGTGAATGCGCGCTTGTAAGGCAGAGCAAGGTAAGGTAAAGAGAGGTCAGGTAAGGATGGGGGTGTGCGCACGGGTTGAACGACGGTGCAGTGCGCCCTTTGGGCTGGGACCTGGGTTGATGGATATGAAGATGAATGGGACCTGGGTCTGGGACCTCCTTGGAGGAGAGAACTGGGGCCCTTGGGGCCTTGGGTTGACGCTGGTAAGGGCATGGGTGTGTGGGATATGGAAATGGGTGTTGGAAGAGATGGGTAAATGGGCATGGGTGAGGATGGTCGGGGGGAATGGGTACCTGACGATGTGCTTGGGCAAGACTGCAAAGACAAGTAGCTGATGGTACGTACTCTTTTTCTTCCCTCTCGTTTTTTCTTTCCTGTGAGGTTTGCGGTTGTGGGAGTGGGATGAAATGTGGAAGTGAGGTGAGCTAGTTGACGTCAGGCAGCAGCAGCAGCAGCAGCAGCTGAGTCGAGAGACACAAAAGAGGTGAAATGGGTTGCAAGGACTGGCAACGCAGGAGGATACCTAACAGAAGTTGGAGATGGAATAGCGACAAAAGTGAGGAGAAGTCGGGTAGGAGGGGAAGGATGGAGAAGAAGGCCGGTATATGGGAGAAGTCTGGCGGAAGATATGAAGAAATCGCAGTGGGGTGTGTTTGTGATGTATCCAACGGAGGATTTCCGGCAGTAAGGTAAGGTACCTTTTACCTTTTCCTTGCCTCGAGGTGGGTGAGGTGGGAGCAGAGCTGAGCAGAGCAATGATGCACAGCAGAGCGAAGCTGTGTAAAGTACGGATACGTAGAGGGATGATGAATGTCAACTCAGGTTCTACTTCCGAGAGAAAGAGAGAGAGAGAGAGAGAGCAAAGTCAAGCTGGGTCGAGTGGAAGAAAGAGGTAGATGTTGAGTATGAGGAACAAACAGTCGCTCGCTCCCTTTGAATCACAGCACCGTGAAGGTACCTTAAGGTAGGGTATGTACTGCGTAAAGTAAGGCAGGTAGAGAAACGAGTCGGACGGGGGAGGGAGAACTAAGGTAGAAGGAAGAAGACGATATTGTGTCGGGTGCCATTGGATTGGATGTGTGATGTGTGAGGTCGGCCTGCTGCTGGAGCTGCCGCTTCCGCTGCCACTGCGCAGCTGGGCTGGACTTTGTCCCTCGTTGGCTTTTCTGGTCGGGTCGGGTGGACATGCGAGGTTCCGACTACTTGCTGTCTTGCGTGAGACACATGGTCAGCCGAGGTAGCGGTACGTGTCGTTGGAGGTGGGACTCGACTTGCAGTACATGCGTGCCACTGTTTCTCCCCTTCCTGCTGCTGCTGCTCCCCTCGCTCCTGCTCACTGGAGGTAAGGTGAGGTGAGGTGGTCTGGTCTGTACACATGTCCGTACCGCTACCGCGACTGTGAGGTCGTGTGTGGGCAGTGGCAGTGGGCAGGCAGGGGCAGGGCATGTCCATCGGCGGCTTCCTCCACTCGATCCCCCTCCCTTGCCAGGCCGACTGTCCATCTTGGAAAAAATAATTGTTAGTGCGCGACAATGAGCATTGTATCGCACCCCCCGCTCGCTGGCCCCCCCGGGGATGGGATGTGTCGACAAGGCTCATTTATGCACACGCCCCTCGTGCTCTTCGGAAAATGGACGGCAATGGTTGTACCAATGTCTCTCTCGAGCACCCAAGTATGGATACGTACTCCTTACCCCATCATCATCACTCAGATGGATGGGAGATACGGGAGAATGAGAAAGTGCCGCCGCTGATGTGTAAGGTACCAAGTACTGCAAAGTCGATGAGGAGATTCGGGAACGAACAAGAGAGGCGACCGACGACGTAAGGTAAGGTGAGGTGAGGTGACGGACTGACCGAATTTCTCTGTTTCTCTCTCTCTCTCCCGTAACGCGCAGCTCTGTGGCCCCATCAGACCGAGGTCAAGTCCATCCTTCCAGTCCAGATGTATCCGCACCCTGCTCTGTCGAGTGTTGTCTCTGGCGCCCCCAGCTTCGAATAGAATCGCCCACGTTATGCAAAGGGGGCGCGCGCATTCATCACCGCCAGTCAAGCGACCAGTCAAGCGACCAGTCAAGCTCAACCCCGACGAGTGTGGCACCTCAATCGTGGCTCGAGCTCTTGCACTCTCCGATGTCTTTCTTATTTGGCCAAGGCTGCTATTACGCAAGCTAAAGTGCAGAGTAGCGTATCTGTATCCGTACCGATGGTATACAGCACTACGGATACACTCACAGCATTGCCTCTCTGCCGGCCGTTCTGTTTTGCTCTTCTCCTTCCCCTGCACAGTCAGCCGACACTTTTTCTAACTTCAGTAGACTCGGAGAAGAGAGATTCGGAGAGTGGGGGATGGACAGGGGGACGAAGCCGCGCTACTCCGTCCCAGCGGCGACCTTTCCCATCTGACGTAGTTGCTTTAGCTGACCACTCTCTGACAGAGCCGATTAGTATGGCAGATTGATTGGGATCGCGGCTCGGAATAGACGTGAGAGGCAAAAGACGTCGTCAGTCAATTAAGAGAAAGTGCTGCGCAAAATGCAAAGGACCACAGAGTATGGATACCATCCACGGAGGCCTTGCTAGCATTTGCGACCTAAGTTGCGGATGCTAGTTAGTCTAAGGTAGTCGGTCCCTCATCTTCGGTTCTGCGGCGGCGCGGCCTGCCCTGGTGCAGTTGGGTGGTGTCTCGTGGTCGGGGGAGCTATTCTCACTCTGGCTTGAAGCCTTGAACAGGCGGGAACGGGGAAACGCGCGAGTCTTGTCAGATGGCAGGCCCTTTCTGGCCCTCTTCTGTCTGGATTGGGCCTGGCTTCGTACCGGTGTAGACTTTCCCCTCATGCGCCTACTGCGTGCCTCTTCCCACCCCGAGACAAGGTAAGGTACCTTGTACGCTGCAGCCCGCACAACGTTTGGTCCCTTGGGGTCCTTGGGATCAGATTTCGGCGCCGTCGCCGTTGCCGTGTGTCCCATCTTGGTGCTTGGCTAGCCCTGATGGTCATTGTTGGCGAGCCGTCATCCGTGTGCAGGCTCGATTGCGACAGGATAGCTTTCTCTCTCGAGCTAGCCATAGTAGCGATAGTAGCCATAGATTGGGTGCAAAGACGAGAATGGAGATGCTCGGTGATGGATGGGGACGGGGACGGGGACGGAGGCACAAGTTCGGCCAGCCAAGCAAACGTAGGCCATAGGCAGGTGCCGTCCGTTTCTTTAACGAAGCAATAAACATCCAGAATGATAGATTTTTCATTGTTCATACGCACCATGTGCCTGAGGCCTACCTTAGGTACCTTACTTGACTCCATAACCGCGGCGGTTTTCCCCATTCGCACTTCGTACCTGCTCCCGTGTGCCGTCCAACCCTCGCTCCTTCTCATTAATCAATATCATCGGGATTACTATTGAATCTCGATGTAAGGCAGTTGCTACACACCCAAGGGCTCACCACCTTTAATACTACCTACATTGCTGACATGGGGAGCTGAGCTAAGGCCAGGCACGGAGTAAGGTACTCTATCCTCTCCTTCTTCTTGTTTACTTTTTTGACCAACATGGTAAAACAGCCATGCCACATGTACCAAGGACAAGGAAGCAATGCTCTGACGCTTCCTACCCTAAGGCACCTTTCCTTGTTCAGAGGTACCTTCCCGGAAGGAAAGTAGAAGGAAGAAATAGCGCACCAGTCAATTGCTCCCGCTTGCTCCTGCCGTTCTCTCTCTCCAGTGTCTACTTCGTGCCTACCTTCCTTACCTCAAGGTAAGGTCATACGGGTTATGGTGTTTTTCAAATATGGGAAAGCGCAAAACGCCCTTGCTCAAAACAGAAACACCACACATGGCAGGTGTGCGATGAAGGGCGCCTTACCGAAACTTTAATCGTCAACTGGGCACTTTAAACGGCGCCTTCCTCGCACCTTATCGTCAAGCATGGAAGGTAGTAGTCAGCATTACCTTGCCTGCCTCACTAAACAATGTCTCTCTATCTGAGGGGGCCTGGGCCACCTCTCTAATACCTTTGCCCCAAGGTACTGAGCTGAGCTGAGCAGGCATCGCACCTCGACCTTTGCGGCGGCTTGCTCCTCCCGTTCCCTTGTGCCCAGCTCGGCTGATTCACTCCTGCCTCACACTTCATGTGTTGGGAACCTCGTCTTCCAGCGGAAGGAACTGAGAATGGGTGCTTTCCAAGTTGCGCAAAAGGCACCTTCAGGTTTCCAGGCTTTCTTCCAATGTAGAATTCTACTCCAAGGGACTTCCGTGCTCTTCAATCACATCATATCGCCGCTGCCCTCGTCCCCGTCCTCGTCGTCCTGCGTCCTGCGTCCGTCGTCTCCATCTTCGAGAACACTGAACTCAAGAACCTGCCGGGGCCAGTCCGACCTCATCTTCATCTGCCCACACTGCCACAAGCCAATTTCCAGTTCTGCGTCCATGCGCCTTTTTGTTTTCCCCATCCTCGCATTGGCATTTCCGGGTGCCATGCTCCCTTTGGCTTCATCATTCCCATTAACCCCGCCCCTGGCCCGTCCTGCGCTTCCTCTTCTGCCGTCTGCCATCGGTGCCATCCATGCATACCTTACCTATGGAGTACGGAGTACACTCTTCTTCTTTCTCGTCCACAGGCCTCATCCTTCTCATGTTAGTCTGCTAATGTGTCTACCGTCACAGTACTATGTGGGCTCGGTGGGTATCGTCTGATTAAGGCGTCGTCTCTTGGATCGGTCCTTTCTTGCGCCATCGCGTCTCTGACAGCTGGATGCCCCATGCCGGCGCCGCCCCTCCGAGAAAACGTTCAGTATTGGCATTAGGCGCGGAGCTTTGTACAACTTCGTCTCCAAAGATGCTCGCCGGTGCAGTCCGCCCATTGTGTATTCTTTGCACAAAACTTCCATCGCATTGTTACTCGACTCCAGGGTCCAAAATCTGCATCACCCTTCGGGCAGACCTCGTCTAGATTGACGCAGCCGCCCAACTACCTCGGGCTTTAACCAGTTATTCCGCTGAAGGACGCTCGCAATTCTCCGTCTTTGCTTTTTTCGACCAATTTCATCCGCTAACTCAAGATAATCTGCCAGCCCCCCGATCCCTCGTCCAATGCTTCAGATGCACTTTCTACTCCGTACAGGGCGAACTAGTACCGCACCATTCGTACGGGTGCATTCCGTCAACTCTCTCTGCCTGGCCGCTCTGGCCATAGGTACACAACTAGGAGTCGCGGATGGTCGGTGGACAAAATCGATGTGACACTTCATTCGTATAGCAGCACGCGGCTCGGTAACTCTCAAAGCCTACAGCGCTGCGATGCCTTCCAAGTCTGGTCGAGCCGTTTATCCCCGTCAAACCTAATCCGCGGAACGCCACCTCGGACTGGACGCTTAGGTATTCGTACTCAGTCAGTCCGTGCAGCGGTTGACATACCTATTTTTGCCAGTACGCAAAAAGTTGCTTCTTCGTCATAAGCAGTCAAATGGCTTACCAGAAACATCTACCGCCAAAGGATCAAGCCGGCGTGTACCAATACTTGCACCACCATACCACACCCGTTGTATATTGAAGATGGCGAAGGCTTGCCACAAGACCCCTGGACCCTTAAGCCGTGTGGCTGTGTAATCTCCGTTTTGCCCCTCGCCGATGCGCCCTAGACGAACTGGAGAGCTGCCGAATCCCAATTGAGCTGTGCCAGGACGGCCAGTGTCCGAAGATAGAGACTTCTGGGTCATTTGACAGATCGCAGGATACACCAAAACGGTCATGCCCGACGACTGCTGCCGTTGGAAGGGCATTACGCTGGCCATGGGCTTGAAGCCTAGGGCCTTCGGGGATGTTCGTCTGAATGCGATCCCGAAAGACGGGCTGTATGCGCTTCTTGTCGGCCAATAGCGACAACCTAACAGCTCATTCAGTCGATCATCGCTTCGACGGCTAAGCAGGCCGACACAAGTCGCCGGCGACACCCCACGCCCAAGTCTCGATGAAGTCGGGAATTGGTTCAGAAGCGGCAATGGTCTCGGATCGCATATTGCAACAACAGGCCCTTGGGGTGTCTCCTTTCTGCCTGGCGGCGATTCAATGTCTACACTAGTGAATGCAGATCTCTGCCCTGCAAGCCATGCCGCCCAAACCCCAAGTAGTGTTCTTGATGTCAACCACGATTCAGCGATGCGATCAGCGCTGCAATCGTCAAGACAATGCACACAATATCCGGACAGCGAGCATGATTTACCCCTGAACCCCCTACTGTTGGTCCCCAGCGGACGGACGGCTGTTGGCTCTGTCTGGGCTCTGGTTTACTGACAGGGCCGAATCCGACTTCATGTCTTTCATCGGGTCAATCGCGTATCCTTTACAAACGGTGCAATTTCACAGCGAGGCTGTAGTGGCTGCCACCATGCAGGTATGCTCAGCGTTTCAATTCCACCTCTTGCAGGCTCGTTGATTCGACATCCTAGGTTGCTCGCTAAACGGTGGCTTCGGGCCTGACTATCCTATTCCAGATGACTGGCCTTGCCGACCGTTACGCACCATCTAGTGAACTCTAAGTGGCGCTATCACAACGTCGCCAACGTTCTGTTAGCCTGGCGCGCCGTTGTCGCTACTGGACATGACGACTGTTACCCGCGCGGGACACGGCACGTGGCAATAGCTCCCGTCCCGTTCACACGCGACCATTGGCTGCCATCACTTTCCAAGGCAGATTTGTGTTGGCGCCATCCCGATGGTAAACCACATCCGACATCGTCAGTACGCTGTTTGCTGAAGACTTGCGGCGGCACAGTACTGGTGACTGTGACCGGTCATCGTGGCAGCCATTCTAATGGGTGAGATTTACTTTATGATACTGCATTGAGGAATCCATCAGTCCGGTACCTCGATACCTCGAAGGCAACGCGGAAACGTATCCGCAGTCATCATGCAGGAGACTTCAACTTGGCCGCGTAACAGGAGCATACATCACACAGCTCTGTCTTGACGTGGAGCTTTGTTTCGAATGGCTAATAATATTGAAAGGGGGGTTGACGTCATTTTCCCGGCCAGCGAGTTCCTAGATGCACCTCCAAGGGCTTACTCGAGTCAGCTCAATCCCCATCTTGAAATGCAACCAAGGCTTCGGAAACGAGAATTGACGAGGATTCTTCCGGGCCGCCGTCAAATCCACGGCACAAAACTTGTCGAGTGTTTCGTACTTAGCCTCTTTGAGTATCGAATTGGCCCGAAACGCTGCCAGAACCAAACCGCCCGGCCGTTGCATAACCGGGCGTGGTAGTTTGAGACGACGCTGCATTCTTCACAACCATTTCGGGATGCCGACTCGTCCAGAATCCTTCAAGCCGTGTCGAATCAAAGCAAGAGAAACGTTTTTTGACGATGGGTATATGGCTCCTTTCATTTACACAGTACATAGAAGTCCTCGGGAGATTACAAGGCGACATCCAGGGATCCATTGAGAGACTACCAAAGTTGGGCGCCGACTGATCATTTCCCACTCGGACCAGTAGCTGTCAAGAGAGGAGACGGGCGCTGCGATCCTTGTTTCATCTAAGCTTATTCACTTTACCGCACAATTCACTAATTACCACGAGAGCAAGCCTCGAGGCTAGAACACAAGAACCACAATCCTCAAGGCCATCGCCTCAATGCGCCTCTGGCTAGACTTTATGTAAGCCCCAAACCTGGAGAACGGAACAGTTGCCAGCGGGGTCTGATGATGAGCGAGAGATATTCCGTACCAGGGGTTCCGAACCGAAAGTCGTCAAAGATTCATCTCAGTCACACTTCACGGGCGGGCTAAAAGAAGATCTACTGTCGATGCGAGCTTAAGCGAGGGCCCGACTGCGGCTGCAATGACCTCTACAGTCTGCAAAGCTTGCCGACCACAACAACTTCCAGCACGTCCCAATAGTTCGGTGGAGGCACTGGATCCGCCTCAAGTCGTGACAGCTACAGGCCACACAGTTGCCCTTGCAGATGGGATCGCCGAGCTGCCAATTTGTTCTAGACGGACGTCAACGAAGCTAGCTCTCAGGAACATCTTCAGTGCACCACGCTAAGAAGAGTCCAAAGGAAGCCACTCAGATTTCCCCTCGGGCTCCCCGTATCTATGCAGCACAGGTACTCCATCAGTGCAGAGCGCTCGAGCCGAAACCTTTACCACAGGCCTCGGTTTAGGGAAGAAGGTTGATGGAGGGCCAGACCGTCTCATGTCACAAGCAACCCCATGCCTAGACTCTAGACCCGAGTGTCTCGCGCAGCGGCTGTGAGTATGTGACTGTTCCCAAATTATCAGGGCGAGGCGGGGACAACGAGGGAAAGGCTCTGACGTCATGACGACCCAGACTCACCTCCTTACCCACAGGCTAATGTCGAGAGTTCGAAACTCATCAATCACGGGGCTACAAGCCTGCGACAACAAGCGCGATACCTAGGTCTCTGGGTTCTGGACGTCGATCTACATCCGTAATAGGAGCCTCAGGAAGAAGGGTGTCATGAATGGTTTGCCGATTGGGCCGGGACTGGTTGGCGCCAATGACCAACATGGAATCGAAATAGAAGCACTGTTTGTCGGGAGCAGGCCGCCGCAGCTGGCCTACCCGTTTTTGATGCCGATCTTCGGCTCAAGACGCTGGAGAATCTGCCCATGGGCGTGGTAGTTCATCCCAGGACAGCTTTCAGGGGGGCAACGACGAACCAATCGTCGCTTGCCTTTGTCATCAACTTCAACGGTCGTTGTTTGGTTCCTGAGCACAGCAACCCAACCGTTCGTCCCGAGGAGAATGGAAGTTCGAGTCTACTCAACAGAGTTTCCACGACTTGACGAGATTGGACCGGGCCACTGGCCGAGAATCCCCCTCCCCGCACATAACAAGGCGGCCGAGCAGGAGGTCTTCCAGTCCAGGCCTGTTGATCAAGTTGCAAACTTATCGCCTTCTCCTCATGCCCAATCCTATTATCATACCGCTACACAGAATACAAATAAGAATGGCATCCAAGCACCAACCACAGAGTCAACTCCCAAAGGATCCTGCAGGGAAAGACCCAACGCACTCGTTGCAGTCCGATGAATTCGCATCAGTTTCGGGATAACATTGCCAACATTAAACCATAAGGATCCGGCCGTAAGGCTCCTAATTGAGACCCAGAAACTCGCCAAATATCGGTAGTTGGGGGTCCCGATAATTTCCAGCTGTGCGGTTCACGTCGCACACACCTGCCGTGGTTTGTGGGTAAGCTGATGGGAGGCAATCCTCGCGTATGGAAGAAGTTGCAGAGTCTGTGGGATGGGTCTCGTGATCAAAGACACAGACATGCACCAGCGCATGGAACATGGGTGGGCAGACTTTGGTGAGAATTCGCCCCTTCAGCGTCGTCTTGTTGCCATCGCCAAATGGCAAATGCCTCACTGACGACATTGGCAGCCAGTCGAAATGGGCCTCGCAGCTCAGACTGTGACTTTGATGGTTTTGTTTGGTGCCACTCAGATGGAGTCCACTACTGAAATTTTCCTCCTCCTCTTCATCCTGGGGGTGAGACCTGACGTTGATTTGGCACGGCGTACTCAGATGGAGAGGACGGTATTGCAAAGCGCCGTATGTTGCTTTCGTCCCCGGGGCTATGGAGAGAAACAAACTGATGCGGGGCCCAGGACCCGCGTGTGCGTGCTCCATCTCCATTCTCCATCTCAGTCTCCATTTTCATCTTAGACAAGGACCGGGGATGGTTGTCAACGCTGGAGGGAGCGCACCGCCACGGAGGGATGATGTCATGTCGTGCTTGAGAAAGCCAAACAGAAGCAGAAGAAAAAACTGTCTTCACTCGGTTGCTATTTTCACCAAAGTACGGATACATTTGGAAAAGCGACATCGACTCCACCAACAACATCCCACGATGGCACAAGCTCCATCCATTCCAAAGGGCTCCAATGAACAGTGTTTAACCCTCACGTATTCAGCCAACTCTCCGCAATGCAGCATCATTGAGAGTTGCGGTGTGGAAACCTCTGCGCCGCACGCTTGATTCGTGGCACCGGTAGAGCCCAGCGTTGTGCTATTGCAATGGTACTTGCATCAACAGTCGTTGCACAGAGAGTTGAAACAGACCCCGACAACACACGATCCATGGTTCTCTGTGTCATTGAGAGAGTTGTGCGGGACATGTTCGAAACTCGCAACCCTGTCATCTGATGGGCTTTACCTTCGTCAGACCAGCTTCCGAAAAGGGGAGCGCGCTGAGCTTTCCTCAGGGCCTCACTGCAGTCACATTTTGTGCCGTCCAAATGGGGATACTGAGGTGCCGCGAGCAACGTCATTCTCTCTAGAAACGGGGCTCCCGTCTTTGCTCTGTTCGGCCTGACGATACATCGAAGTATGGATACAAATACAGGGGTCGGCCAGTCTCGGCACCTCATTCTTCCCGGGTTGCGGCACGAGTGTGTTGTGGCGTTGACTGATGGAAACTAGTTGCTGGGGGCCTGGTGAGTCTGCCTGAGCAGCAGCAATCACCAAGTTCTGCCCACTACGAAGTACGGATACCACGAAACATAATTCTCTGATCAGTTGAACTTGGCCGGATAATTCACCGAGTGGATACGGACAAGGTGTTACCAGGCGAGATGGCAGAGTACATTGTCCATGAGTAGACGGGTCCAGCAAAAGCTCTACCCCGGGATCCTGAGCTCGACCATGGAACCATGTCCAGCCCAAATGCGAGCCCGCACTCAGCACTCAGGACGTTGCCGACCCAGACGTGCCAGAGACGGCTACTACAACGGCATGATGATTATCTGTCAAATAATCATGCCTGGTAGGCATTTCATGCCCATATCGCGCTAACAGATAGCGCACGGAGCGTCCAGCAAGCCCTGAGTTAAAGCCCGCATATGCGGTGTTGAAGCCAGCTGCCATCGGCCTCGCACGATGTTATCGCGAGCCACAAATCTCGCCAAGAATTGAAAATACAACGCTTCAGACCAGCTTGGGTGGGCGGCCGTGGTACAACACGGATAGAGAGCCGGGATCGTGGCCTTTCTGAGCGCGTCAAAGTGGGAGGGCAGCCATGCATGTTTGCGGGGCCCTGGCACATGTGGCTTCGGAGCACGCACTCTTGGGGTAAGAGGATTTCAGCAGACCCCAGGGCGTTCCGTAGCGCCTAGTATAACGGTATAACCTCCTGAGCGCTCATTGCTCAATGCCCGCAGGAAATTATGACCACTGATGGTGTGCATCCCAATCTGGACACATGGTTGAAGCCATCTTGGGGCATCCCGCGCAACGGCGCTGGGGTACAGGAGGCTAACTACGAGACCATGACGCCCTACCCAGCGATCGATACCAACCGTCGTCGGTTGCTCACTAGTACGGTTCCTTCAGGGTCCTCGCATTCAGCGCCAAAGCAAGGGACCAACTGCCCGAGTCTAGCTGACCGTTGATCGCCGATTCTAGAAGAGAATCAACCATCTCCTTCATGCTTCTATGTAAACGGCGCCAACAGTACCAGGTATTTGGTTGAGGGTCGCGGCAACCACAGTGGAGGTGGGGGGCACACTGGTGCTACGCAGTACTGATACATGGGCAAAGGCACGGATTTATTTTCATCTCTGAGTTGCCAGCGAGCCCCTTTGACTCATCGTTCATCGAGATTGCTTCACGGCTTACCTCGCGGTCAGCGTAAGGTAGTATAGGATCTCGTACCTTACCACTCTATCGTGGCCCGTAACTTCAATAGCTTGCCGAACCCTAAAGTCCCCGATTCGCAGAACGGCGACAGCCGCTCAGACTGGCTATGACGGAGATTCGACAATATCGCCCGCCATTAAGTGCCAATAAACCTGTCAAACTACGCTCCGACTGTGGCACACGAGTCAGTTGGAGTGTACTGCGTATGAACCAGAGAAGACATCTTGATGGGTTTCTCAGTCACCAAAGAGAGGGGCTACATAGTAGTCGCAGGCCGTGACCCGCCCTGGCCCATCATCCTGGAGCTTAATTCCAATCTTACCACATGCAACGCTGGGCAGTTGACGCAGGACACCTTCGGGGCTTGATCCCGCAGCCGGGGGAGTGCCATATGGCCACTATGGTCGCAACTCAGTCAGTGGAGATACAAGGTTGCTGTCCGACGCGCCGGTGATGAGAAGCTTTCGTCAATATGCGTCAGGGCAATGTCTCGTAGCCGAGCCGGTTGAGTTCGCCTGCTTGGGTTGAGGTCCACCTCACGTTACACTCGGAGACCCGGGGCACCAACCTGCGCTTTGCCGGACATGGGAACAAGGCCTCTAGGGACCGTTGTCATCCACCCCGGAACGTGCCCTTCTCTCGGGACTAGGAAATGACGAAGCTTAGGGTTAACTTTGTAAGCGCCAGTTGACGAGGGTATCCGGGCGGAGGTTGCAACACTAACGGCGGCAAAAACAAAGTCGTGCTGTGGGCAAAGCGCAGGTACAATTCCCTCACTTACACCGTCACGACCGTATACGGGGATGCAAGCTTCACTCTCCAACGGGAACGTAGGGCACAAACGAAAAGGGGATTGACGAGTACCGCGAAACACGTCCGACTCGTACTACTGCAACAAATCGCCTCATCCTGTTGTTGTTGTGGATGGGTGGTGGACGTACGGAGAGAGGCAATCTCATGGCCAGCAACTTGACTTCGGTCCTGACAGTGGAGGTGGCCCTCTCTCTCTCTCTGCCGTTGCCCACCGTGGTGGTCCGGCACGGCACTCACAGACGCTGACGCTGTGGCATCGGAGAGCATCCCGCGTGCGCCCTGTGGTCGGCCGGGATCAGGGTACAGATGGTGGATTTGCCCTGGGAATGCCTTTTAAGGGTCTCCACGGGCGCCGCTGGGATGCAGCCTTTATTGACGGTCACGTTTGCCCAAGGGAGAAAATTCGGTGTCGATCATGAGGTCATTGTCGATGGGAGAGTATGAAATTGCTGGAGGGGAGAAAACTCTTCGATGGACCCTTCCATGCCGTGGGTCTTGCGGGGGCACACGGGGGGCCGGGCAGCAGTGTGTTGTGCGGTGTTTGGGGGCACAAAAGTGAGATGGCAGATTGGTCCCTGACTCCGATGCCATGATCAAGGTTGGAACGAACAAGGTTTGCACTGGGCTTGGGTATTGAGAAAGGGCGGGAAGAGAGGGGAACTTGGGGGGGCAGAAAGCGACGATGATCATTTCTCGACGAGGTAGGTTTCTCGATGGGTGGAAATCATTCAATGGAACCCTTGATCGCGGCCCCCCCTGAGAAAATCATTGGAATTATATATATTTATAGAGGGCTGAGCCACGATGGAGGCAACTTGGGGAAGTATTGGAGGGGAGGCACTGACGTTATTCGCGTACGATTCTTGCAGATATCAGACATGGGGAGAGGAAAGATTGGCGTGTCCAGATACGTGAAGCAGAAGGCAGGAAAAGGGGGTTTGGTTACAGGATATGTTTGGTGGGTGGGAAGAGACAGGCGTGAATAGCAACTAACACGCCCCCCGGTGCCCCGAGACGCATGTCCGACGTCGAGGATTCAGCACTCCTCAGAGAGAACGTCGGCAGTAGGCAAGGAGGGCCGTGAAGCCCGGTGCTCCTAGCCTCCGGTCGGTCGACCGCGGGACTTTGCCACGCGTTGATCTCTCGTGTTCGGCCGGAATACCGGGGCGGGGGGGGGGGCACTTTCTCACCACGAAGCAACCGCCGGGAGAGGGGTCCCCTTTTTCTTTTACGATAATGGATACACGGAGGTGCTTGTTGGGCGGGGCGGGGGGTTGTCGTTTGTTGCTTTGTCGATGAAGCTTGATTCGGGGGCCGGGCTTGCGGCGGCGGCGGTTCCTCTTCGACTAGCATTGCTGGGTGGTATTTTCCTTTCTGTTCCCTCATTCCTTCTTCACCTCCTCTTGCCCACCGCATGCGATGCAACCCTTCAGGTGAACCTGTCAGTTGGAATGCATGGACTCTGGAGTGGGAAAAAAACGGTTCAGAATGCAGATCTTCCAAGATTCCCATGGCGCCAGAGACCCTGAAGTTGGCAGTTGGAGGGGGGAATTATGCTCGTTTGAGGAGGTACATGGAGGGCTCGGATGAAGCTATACGAACTTGACAAGTCGAAAAGCAAGGTCAGCTTTCGAGTCGGAGCTCCGGGTTGGTGGGTGAGTGGTGGTTCGGTGAGTCGAGTGCCGAATGCAGGTACGGAGGACGGGGGGCCACGGTTGTTGTCCTGCGGCGGCGCTGCGGATACCCTGCTGCGTACGGATACCACCACTTTGACTGGAGTGGAACATTGTTGCATTCCCTTTTACGGCTCGAAAACCATTCTGATATTGGACTTTTGAAGGGGGGAGGGGGGTCCGTCCGGGAGTGGTGATACTCTCGGGGGCCCGGGGGGTTGGTGGTTTGAGTCGGACCTTGGAGGCGGCGAAAAACTTTGAAGGCATTCACGAGCTATTGGGATATTTCTCTCCATCGCGACGACGATCAGATGCACGAAGGGTAGCATGTAAGACGGGGAATGAACGGTGACTGTCCCCTCTCCCCCTTCTACTTCTCCCCTTCTCCTCGTCTCGAAGCCCTTGACCGAGATTCCATGTCCAAGATGATGCTCGAGTCGAGGAGTTTTTCGGTGGATATTGGACTCGATGGGGAGTCTGATACCGAGATACCGTCGGTACATACATGTTCAGGTATCCTTTCATTTTACCAGACCCCCATTCCCATTTTCATTTTCACCCCCCTTCCCATACCCACTCTTACAGTCCTACTTGCCGAGTTATGAGGTTGGTGATATTAGAGAGAGAGATGAATCGACGATCCCAAGAGCGGACGTTGAGCTCCCCACCCCATATCCCCTTCCCTCACTTCTAATCCTGCTCCGACTCCCATGTAGCCTCGTTCTCCTTCCTCTTCCAGGCTCCGGGTCCGCCCCCCTTTGGAATCACCTCGGACCATGAACCCACGGACGAGGGCCTTTGCCTGCGAGGAGGATTAATCCCTGGCAGGACCCTGAGATGGCCTGAGATGAGGGGTTCTTGAAGATCTGCAGCAACAGTAGCAGTGGGACAGTACGGAGTAGTAGTAGCCGCAGCAGCAACAGTAACGGCGGATAACGGCGGCGAGCGGGCGGGTGGTTGGGCGGGTGAGATAGAGGCGAGGGTAATATTAAAGTGTTCAATATTGGAAGTTGAGTTTGAGGGGGCTCCGGTCAACCGTCGGGAGATCATGGATGAAGTGTCAGGGAAGGCTCAGGGGACGGTTCTTTCTTTGGCGGGAATGAGGCGGTCGGGGTGAAGTTGATTCACAGCCTCCTTGGGATGGAAAATGGGCTGAGGAGAGATGGGAGGGGAGGAGGGCTTAGATTGGGTAGGTAGATGTAAGTGAAGGTTTTTTTTTTTGGTCTCGTGATGGCTTCATGGGATGAGACGCAGTCACGGGATACGAGGTGGACGCACGCAGTACTGCGTAAGGTATGTACGCTCGGGTTGCTGCGGGCCTGCGGGCTTTGCGGCTCTACTACTGCGCGTCGTCTGCGGGGTGGGATTTGGGACCGCGTGACTGGTTGAGTTTCCTCCTTTGAGCTCTGAGGGGTTTGCTCGAGGATTCGTTTTACTTGCTGCTGCTGTTTTGTTGTAGAGACATATGCAGCTGCCTGTTTGGCGCCTCCTTTGTTTATAAGTAGGTGCTTGAAGTTGAAGTTGACGTTGACATGAGATTGGCTTCTGGAGGACTTGAGCTGGAACTGTAAGTCAGGTTCCTATTCTGCTCCTCGTTGCTGTGGCCGGTCTGAAGTCAGTGCGAATGAGGGAAAGACTGAAGGGATGAAGGTGTGTGGAACCTTGGTGAGTGATAGGCAGTGATTCATGAGACTGAGGTAAGAGCCTTTCGATGTCTTCAGCTGGTGTTTGATGTGAACCAGGAGCCTCAAAGGTACGATTGCTGTCACTGTTATTCGATTTTATTGCAATGGCTAGGATGTACAGCTTTACAGAACTATGATGCGTATGGAACCGTGTTAATGAGATCGTTTTGCAGGTGCGAGATGCTGATCTATCTGAGGTATCTGGCAGTGTTTAAACTGTGGTAACAGACGAATGTCACGACCTCACTTGAGATCGTGTTCAAGGTAAAATGCAGACGCCGCCGCAGCCTCTCATTCCTCCCATGTGCTCGAGCATTGTTTCCTCCTAGCAGTAGTTTCCCCCTCCTTCCCCCTCACCACAGAAGCAGGCGTGTTTGAAGGGGTGAGGCTTGAGTCAAGGAGATGAGAGCTTGTGATGGCGGCTGGATTAGACATGTGCGTGGATGATTGGTCGCAATCCGGTCCTGGCGTTGTTGCAAGGCTGCTTTGCTGTCTGCGGCGGTCCGGACACGGCTTTGGGGATGGTGGAAGGGAGCGTGTCTTCCTAACCCTACCTGACACCTACCTTAGTTGGTCAAGTGAGTACAAGGACGATAGCTGCGTTGTCTTAGTAGGGCTTTGGAATAGCTTGTCTAATTCTTTTTGTGTTTTCTCTGATGTCAAACAAGACATTATCGAGACCTCTTCGTTTTTCTCGAGCGGTTGCTAAAAGTCAGAGGTGCAAGGCCCCCTTTGTTTCTGATGAACCTTAGGTAAGGTAAGGTTGCATCTGAGCGGAGAGATGTCTTATCGCAGCTCTTATCTGACTCTGAAGTATGTTTCTGACAGTTGTTCTCGAAGGAGAAAGGACGGTCGGTGCGTTATCAGAGACTTTTAGGCAGTGCGACTGCTTATCGGAGACAGCCAAGATGGGTGTGATACAGCGGTCGTGTGACCCATCACGTCATATTTGGCACTGTATCATCAAGTACCTACTGATTCGATACTGCCCCCCCAAAGGCACACGCCCAACTTAGCTACAGCTATTGGCTGCTTGGCGCTGTGCCTCCGGTGCCATCCTCCCGCTCCCCTCGTCAGATTGCGCGGGTTTAGCGCTCTCTGTGCGGCGTCACCACTTGCCTTCCCGCTCCGATGCGTGGAGCTCTGTCTGCAGTGCTGCTGGCGGCTGCTGCTGCTGCTTTGATTGCTGCTTTGCTGATGCTGCTGTTCGTAGCCTTTTGGGTGCCGTGCATGACATTTTTACGTACCATTCTGGGGCGTATGGTTTCGTCTTCGGTTCATCTCTCATTTCATCCTCTTTTTTATCCACCGCCATTTCCAAACCCTTTGTCTATTTACTTTTTTGTGTGCTGGGGGAGAAAGAAAGAGAGGGAAAACATCACCCCAAATCGAACGAGCCTTCTTCTCTACTCCGTACCGCGATCTGGGTTGCGCCTTGTCTGTTTTTCTCGGTACTCGTCTTGCCGGGTCGCCATCCATCTCCGATACGGCAACGTCCATAGTATTTCATATCCAGACTACCTCACCTCACGGCACCCGTTGTCGCCCTCCAACAGTGGATATTCCCAATAGGCCAGGCGAGGTAAAGAGTCTGATTTCCTTCTGCGGGATCTCATCATCGCATAGCATACGTATCTGAACGCTGCGGCGCGCTGCGCACGAGTCGGACGACTGAAACGAAACGGACACGCGCGCTCACGCCTTTGGAACCACCTCGCCTACGGAATACCTTGGCTGTCCAAACAAACGTACCCGCAATAACGGCCATCTCTCTCCTTCGACCCGGAGTCGAGCATCCAAAACCCAAACCTTACTCTGTCATCATCATCATCATTTCTAACTCACACCTCTGGATCTCTACTGCAACCGCCAAACCTCGTGGGACTGCTACCTGACGTCGTTACGTACTGTGCAGTGTGGGTGTGCTTGTCTGTCACTGTTCGGTTTCTCTTTTTTGGCCGTTCCCATCTCGGCTTCGCAACCCCGCCAGCCGTTCTCGGCACCCCACCTTATCGCAGCCAAAGGCCGCTATTTTTCGCCTGGGCGATTTCTTGGTTGAACAGTACCTTTCACCCAGTACCTTGCCTTGCCTTACGCTGTAGCTAGTAGGAGAGAAGCCAGGCCGCCAAGCAGCGAATCAACCCAAAGGCGGAAAAAAGGGAAGCGTCGTCATCGGTTCCTCAAACTCTCTCTCGCTACTCCGAAAACCCACCGACCGGCCGCGGGCTCGTTTGAACCTCTCGCCTACCCTCCACAACCAAACCAACCAACGAACCCCTTGTTCTACGGATCTCGAGACTGCAACCATGGCTGCTGCAGCTGCGCATGATACGCCTGAGGAGCCTCAGAGCGATGGCTCCAAGCTCAAGACCTTTATTGGTATCCTGAAGAAGTGAGTCTATCTCGTGATGGATGACGTCGTTTGGTGGTTTGGGCTTGCATGCGCAGTGCCTTTGGGAACCAGGAGGCGAGCTTTTCTGCTTCGCGGGCGGGGATGCGTTGGCTGATGGGCGATGATCCTTGGAGGGGTAAACCTGCCATCGTCACCTCATCAGACCTGCAAAACTCCAAAATCAGACAGGCGTGAATTATCGGGAAAGCGGAATTCGTGCTGACTGGCCTCCTTCTTTCAGGTTTATCGGTGTCGCCGACCTTGCTGCCGTCCGCTTCTCTCTGCCATCCCAACTCCTCGAGCCGACGCCGAACCTCGAATACTGGAACTATCTCGATGCGCCCAACGCCTTCGTTGCCATCGGTACCGCGGACGAACCCCTCGACCGCATGCTCGAGGTCTGCCGGTTCTGGTTCACAAAAGATCTGAAGTACGTCAAGGGAAAGCCTTGCAAACCATACAACTCGTGTTTGGGAGAGTTCTTTAGGGTGAGTGCCGCCGGTCCTTTCTTTGCGCACTATGCGCCTATCATACTTTAGGACGCTAATGGAGGACGTGATTAGTGTAATTGGGAAACCGAAGATAATGCCCCCAAGATCAACACGACAGCCCTCGGCAGCGGCGCGGGTAGCAGCTCGTCAAGCTTCAAGTCGGCCAAGGCAGACAAGAACGCCTCGGCCGTCTCCCTGTCCGTCCCGCAACACGGCAGCACGACACTCGACAGCAAGCCCCTCCGTATCTCATACCTGACCGAGCAGACCTCCCACCACCCGCCCGTAAGCGCATTCCACATCAGCTGTCCCGAGCGGGGCCTCTCTGCCCGCGGCTTCGACCAGATTACGGCAAAGTTCACGGG